TCCGTTGCCGGACACGAAAAAAGACCAAAAAAAAAAAAAAAGGTGTTTTCTCCAGGAACAATTCTCAATTGCAGACTTCTGGGTCATTAGCTAATCAGGAGAGGTTTGGTAGGGAAAAGCCTTGTTACCAAATAAGAGCAAAGGATCTTTTATGTTTTAAGGACCTTCTCCCTTATAAGAGCTGCTTGTCCCTATTAAACAGAGCTAGTGAGGATTGCATTCTCTCCCCAAAGTGGCTACTCAGATCTCAGAAGGTAAGGGTTAGACTTTCATGCCATCACCATGAGTCTGGGAAGCTTTAACTACATTTCCTTTTCCTCTCAAGAAATCTACCTGCTATTCTCTTTTCCAGATGAATGTTCTGTATAGTGAGCTCATGGAAGCATTAGATAAAAATAAGGGCTCACTTTCAGTGAAGAGTGACAACTACTAGAGCAAGGCATACGAGCAGGCAGACTCGCAGCAAGTTGAAGATGTATTGTCAAACTTTCTCTAGCTTTGGTTTCTGTTTTCTCAGGCCCTATTTTCACGTTGTTGAATGAAATATTCTAAAATAAAAGCATTTTGACATTTAACTCAGTGACCAGTTTATTTCTGGGAAACAAGCAAATTTTCCAAAGTGCTAAGGATTATATTGAAATAGCCCATGTGGGAGCAAGATGGTTTATGCCCCATGTGAACAAAAGAGAATATTCATCCCAGTCCAACACAGGTTGCATTTTATTCTGAAGTGCTCAAATTCCCAATACCTTAAACATAACAGAATCATAGCCTCTTCATTGGAAGGAACTTGGGTCCAATATTTCCACTTCATTGGAAGTGGTCTTTGGGTCCAATATTTATCTGATTCATGAAGTCTCTCTCTAATATCCTTAGACTGGTTACCAAGTCTCCATTAGAATGTATTCTGTGACAGGAGCTCCCAAAATAGCTCAATTCACCTTAGGTTGCTCTCTAATTGGTAAAAATCCATTCCTCACACTAAACAGAAATCTGTCTCCCTGTAACAAGTCTGTTTTCTCTGTCCCAGATGCCTTTGGAGAACTGAAGACAGAAGTCAGGCCCCTCCCTATCCTCCAGGCTTTTCCTGCTCCAGGTTAAATACCTTCTGACCCCTCAGCTGTTCTCCATGTGATCTGGTCACCTCACCGTCCAAGAGCCAAATCCCGTGTGCCAGTGAGGTCTGACTCATGCAGAGTTAAGCAGCCTCATTCTGGCTAGATTGGTATTAGTGTACTGTTAGAGCACAGTGGCTTTTCCCCCAGGTGATTCGTATTAACATTTTTTTAACTTTTGATTTTGAAATCGTTTCATACTTGAAAAGTTGCAAGTAAGCACAAAGAATTGCCATGCACCCTTCACTCAGCTTCCATATTCGTTACCATTTTACCACGTTGCCTTGCTAGTCCGTTTCTTTCTGAACTAGTTGAGATTAATTTGCAGACATCTGCCCCACTACACCTTAATACTTCAGTGTGTATTTCATATAAACAAGGATACTCCTACATAACCACAGTACAACCATCAAAATTCGGAAATTAACAATGATACAGTTCTACCATCTAATCCACAAAGTCCATTCAAATTTCACTGGTTGTCCTAATAAAGGGCTTTATAAGTTCAGGATCACAAATTGCATTTAGTCGTCATGTCTTTCATCTGCAAACTGAAATGATTCCTCAGCCTTTGCTTATCTTTCACGAGCTTGACATTTTTGAAGAGTACGTGCTAATTACTTTGTAGCATGAACCTCAATTTAGGTGGGTCTGATGTTTCCTAATTATTAGATTTAATTTACGCATTTTGGGCAGGCATACAACAAAAGTGATGTGTTCATCTCAGTGTGTTCTTGATGCATCATACCCACTAGCACACAATGTCAGTTTGCCCTATTACTGGTGAAAGTTAAGATGGTGTCTGCCAAATTTCCGCAGGCTCATTGATAAACATTTTGTACTCAGTAATTAATAAGTAATTATGAATTATTTGGTGGAAGATACTTTGGGATTAAATAAATATCCTGTTCCTCATTAAACTTTCACCTACTAGTTTTAACATCCATTGATGATTCTTGCCTGAACCCATTTTTACTGTGATGGTTACTAAATGTTGATTTTTCTGTTTCCATCATTCCCCCTTCATTTATTAGTTGGTGTTGGTAAGGTAGAGCGTTTTCTCCTCCCCCACTTACTTATTTATTCATGTTTTAAAAATACATTTTAGTACAAAGTAAAATAATGGATTCCTATTTTATTTAATGGGTTATAATCCACTATTGTTACTATTTTTTTTTTTTTTTTGGCAGCTGGCCAGTACAGGGATCTGAACCCTTGACCTTGGTGTTACAACACCGCACTCTAACCAACTGAGCCAACCAGCCAGCTCGTGTTGTTATTGTGCTGCCCAAAGCTGGTTCCTACACCCTTTTGACATGTCCCCATCATTCTTTGGGCACTTCCTTATTTTGTGGCACAATAAGATGCTCCAAGTTCATCTTGGACTTTCCCTGCCTCAGCCCTGGAATCAGTCATTTCTCCAGGGAGCCCTGGCTCCTTTTAATGGAGAATGGTAGTTAGTGCCCAAGATCTGGGTCCTAGGTATACTCATTGTTACTGGGGTGCCACTGTTTCTAGGTGTAATCAATAGACAGAGCTAGGAAAAAACATGTATGTGTATATACTTATACAGAAATACATGCATAACTATATGTCTATACACACACATACACATATAACTGAGTTCATACCTCCATTTTCTTTTTTTTTTTTTTTTTTTTTTTTTTTTTTTTTTTTTTTTTTTTTTTTTTTTTTTTTTTTTTTTTTTTTTTTTTTTTTTTTTTTTTTTTTTTTTTTTTTTTTTTTTTTTTTTTTTTTTTTTTTTTTTTTTTTTTTTTTTTTTTTTTTTTTTTTTTTTTTTTTTTTTTTTTTTTTTTTTTTTTTTTTTAAAAGATGACTGGTAAGGGGATCTTAACCCTTGACTTGGTGTTGTCAGCACCACGCTCACCCAGTGAGCAACCAGCCATCCCTATATGGGATCCGATCCCGTGGCCTTGGTGTTATCAGCACCGTACTCTCCCGAGTGAGCCACGGGCCGGCCCATACCTCCATTTTCAATTCAACACCAGTGGGTTTTTTCTAGCCTTTCCACTTTGCATATCTGTAATTCTTTTTTCCAAAATTGAGAAGCCTGACTCTCATTATCCTCAAATATTCACTTACTTGCTCACTCTCTCTGTGTAATCCCAATCTCCCAGCCATGTGTGCGGTCTCTTTGGACTTAACCCCACCATCTTGATCAAGAAGGCTGCCCCTTTGGCCCAAGCCCCAGCAAATACTCTGGCCAAGTCATCAGCTGAGCCTCCAGCCCAGAGAGCATGCATGCTGAGTCCCTAACTGAGCCCCAACCCAGCCCTGACCCTGACCCCAACCCCCGCCAAGGAGAAGGGAAGCGGACCACATGAGCATTTAAGCAGGTGCTTCATATTGTTGACTCACTGCATTTATGGTTTACTCTCCCCTCCCTTCACCTTAGTTTACTCCTACTTGTCTTTGAGAAGTCAGCTCATGTGTCAGTTCCTCAGAGAAACCTTCCCTGACTAGGTCAGGTTCTTTCGTAATATGCTCTCTTAGCACTCCATTTATTCCTCGCAGTTTGTAAACATATGTTTGTGGAATAATTTGATTAATATCTGCTTCCCCCAGTAGTCTTTAAGCTCCACGAGGGCAGACAGTATGTTTTCCTTACCATTGCATATTCCCAGTGTCAAGCCTTTCTGGCATTTACAATAAATATTTGTTGAAAGAATGAATGAAAACTTCTAAGTATTTTTCCACACATATTGCTATTAATTAATGTCACTGCTTGTACTTCCAGTTTTTTTAATCTAATTGAATTAATCTCTATTAAATTGCTCTTGTCAGTGGATCTTTTTAGATACAGAGTTGATCCTTATTGTTTGTTATCCCTCTCAGGCTCACATTATCTGCATATTTGGTCAACATGCCAGCTAATGTTTTCAACCAAATAAATGATAAAATATACCGAATAGGAGAGGGCTCAGACAGAGTTTGGCAACATGCTTTGCAGTCCTACTTCCAGGTTCATTCATTCATGCAACAAATATTTCCTGAGCACTTTCATCTATGGACTGGGCACTGTTACAGGTACTGGGGATGAACAAAATAGAGGACGGTCTCTCCTGCAAAGAGAGACAACAGGTAATAAACTAGTATATAAGTAACTTAAACATTGACCCATTCAATTAATGATGATCATTTGCCTGCTCAATAGTTGTACTATCTACATTTTTCCAAGCTTTTCACAAGGATATCATGAGTGACATTGTCAATGCCTTGCTGGAACGCAGCTGCACTATGTCTATTACATTCCTCTGCTTTACTCATTTTCTAAGCTTTACCCATTTAAGTTGATTTTACTAAGCTCATTTCAGAAAAGAAAATGAGCTTTGTCTTGAGTTGTTCTTAGGTAAAGGGTTTTATAAACTCTTTGTGGTCACTAGTTCCCTTCTAAGGACTCTTATGCAAGCCATCCCTTCCAATAATGTATTCTAGAAACTTGCCTTGGATTAAGATGAAATTAATCTTCTTCCCTTTAAAAAAAAAAAAGGAGCATATATCCCTCCCTAGGCTTCCAGCATCTCTTATTCTCCATGATTCCCCATAGGTTACAAACACTGGTTCAGTTATCTCATCTAAAGGTTCTTTCAACATCCTGACAGATAATTTGTCTAGGCCAAGAGACTCAGAATCACTTAAGGTACCTTGGTGCTTTCTTTACAATTTTCCTACTTACCACGAGCCTCGGTTACTTCTTGCTAGTGTCTCCTTGACCCTTTCTAGCCTAATGGACAGAGTTTGGATGGCATTAAAGAACAAAGCAAAGTAGCCATTAAAGAGCCTTTATCTTTGTTGTCTGGTAAGCATTACACCATTTTATTTTTCATTTTAAACCCTGTGATACTATTGGAATTTTTTTACATGTGCTTTTATAATTTTCAAAAAACTAATTATAATTAAAACAAAACATACTGTCTGCCCCAATATGTGGACTTTAAAGCTTCCCTGATTTTGTTTCTTGATTGACATAAAGCTGTAATCAGCCTCTTTTTCTTACTTCTAGAATTAGCCGATTGGGGTCAGGCCTTCCTGACACGATTTTGGCAGTTCCACGTTACTGTTTTATATTCATCCTTGGTCAGATGATCTTCTTTCTACCTTTTTAATCAAAGAACTCTCTCTGCATTTGCATCATTTTCTTTAATATCTTACCTTTTACTTCTTTAAAATAATTCACAATTATATGGTCAGAATTTAGTTTAGTTTTGTTTTTTTTTGTCCTTTTTTTTTTTTTTTTGGAGACCGGCCGCACCACGCTCAGCCAGTGAGCGCACTGGTCATCCCTATATAGGATCCGAACCCGCGGCGGGGGGGCTGCTGCCCCCCCCGCGCCGCCCTCCCCCCCCCCCCCCCCCC